AAAGGCATTTGATCATTTAAAACAAAAACTTTTGTCACCTACAATTTTGAAATTTCCAAATTACAATGAAAACTTTATTCTTAGCACAGATGCTTCTAAAATCGCATTTGGTGCTGTTTTAGCTCAACTTCACGGTGACATAGAATTACCGATAGCTTACGCAAGCAAAACTTTTACAAAAGGTGAGAGTAACAAATCCACCATTGAACAAGAGTTGACTGCTATTCATTGGGCAATCAACTATTTTCGACCATATTTGTATGGAAGACGTTTTACGGTGAAAACAGATCACCGCCCACTTGTTTATCTATTTTTTGATGAAAGATCCCAACTCAAAATTGACCAGAATGAGGGTAGATTTAGAAGAGTTTACCTTTGATGTTGAACATATTAGCGGAAAACAGAACGTTGGGCCCGACGCTCTATCCCGCGTAATTATTGACTCCGAAGAACTCAAAAATCTCTCCATACTGCCAATCCAAACAAGATCAATGACACGGCAGCAAAACAAAGAAAATAATAACGAAACACAAACTAATTCATCTGCTACCGAGACTGATCACCTCAAAGCTTATGAATCGGTCAACAACCTTGACGCATTTAACATGCCGAAAGTGATATTTGAAGTAAACGACAATGGTCTAAATTTACGAATTTAACGGTACAGTCTTACTACACCAGTTCTCGGACAACCACAATATGGGAAACTCTGACTCGAAAGACCAGGAGGTAAAGCAAATTGGTGATCAGCAGGTCACCGTCATCGAGTGGAAGCTGCTAGTAATCATCAAAATAGGCATAATTATTCACGTACACAGGCCAACGGTGGTTCCTAACCAGTCGCATCAGCAAATACAGTAGCAGTAAAACAAAGCAGCAAAAGTGCGGGAAGTGGCGAGGTAAAATACCCCGCCACCGGAAGATTAAAATAAAAATTAGGTACTACACTAGTACCGACAAATGATGGGCCGCCAGAAAATCTGGATTCTTTCATAGATGCAGTATGTTTATTCGAAGATACTGTGCAAACTACATTTGCCAACACCGCTGCAGCGCAAAAAGCTGCAACAGCACAAACAGTGGTGAGATTTGTTCGTACGCGACTAACAGGAAAAGCCCGACAAGCGGTGAATAATAATCAAAATCTTCAAGAGACACTGAACTCAGTGAAGGAACAATGTGCCTCCAAGAACTCACAGCAATACACTGGGCAATACCACACTTTAGTCCTTATCTCTACGGACGAAAATTTACAGTTAAGACAGACCACAATCCTCTTGTACATCTCTTCTCAATGAAGGATCCCACGTCAAAATGGACTAGAATGCGACTAAATTTAGAGGGAATTCCGATTTCGACATCGAACACGTTAAAGGGAAAGACAATGTTGGGCCCGACGCTCTCTCCCGTGTTGTTATTGATTCTAAAGTTCTTAAAACATGTTAATTTTACCAATGCAGAACAAGATCAAAAACCCGAAAAAATGACACAAACCGCAGTTAACGAATCTAAAGATTGATCAACTTAGAGCTTATGATTCAATTAACAATGTTGCAATGTTGACCGAAAGTGATATTTCTAATCTAATCTAATACAAACGCAGCCAGTACGAGAAAGCATCCTGGAAAATGATTAGGTAAGATAAGGTCTAATCATTTTTCTTGTCTAATTGATGTTTACAGCATATCTGAGGCCTACTGCGTTGTATTTGCCGCAAAGATGATAATTGGAAATTAATGAGAACATTTCTTGAATCTACAGGGGTGGAAGGATGCGTGGACATACCGTACCAAACGCTCCGAGTTACTATGTGTAGTTGTGTGTATTGTGTAAATATTTGTACAATATTGAAGAATCATTAAATAATGCAATTCAAAGGATCTTACCGAATTTTCTCCAATGTTGATAATGATTCTTTTGCGCTTAAAAGTTTCGTTGGATGCATCCGCTTCTTGTTTATCATGGGGTTTGGGATACAGTTCCTCGTCATTGCTCGTGGTTATGTTTAGTCCGTCGCGTCCGGACCAGATCCTTAGCCGTAATCTTGACCGCATCCATCTGATTTTCTTTGGCCAGCTTTTTGATGTCGGCGATAATCTTTTCCTGCTGTTCCATTTTTATCTTCTCCCGCATCATCTCGTCCGGAGACATTTTCTTACCGAACAACTCCATTTTGCTGGTTGTTTTCCGGATCAAATAGTGGTAAAACTGGTTGAATAAAGCGGAACTTCGGTGGTCTCACAAGCTAATCTTGCACAAAATTGGATTCTAATTTGTTTTTCGAATCTGACTCCACTTGTAATCGGAATGCCGGTCATAAATGCACTTGGAAAAAACCTTCTTTCGGCCATAAAAAGAAAAACTATTCTTCCAAAAACTTTCGATTTTCAAAACTGGCAAATCATCTTCAGATAAAATTTCGAAAACCGCGACGAAAACATAATATACGAGCAATTGGACAGCAGAATTTTTTCGCGTCCATTTTGAAGCAGAGCACACTTCGATCTTTCTGACCGAAAGCAGAGTTGCTTCCACTCACTTGCTATAAAAAATGATTTTCTGAATTTTGAAATCATTCGATGTTATAAAGATATTTTGTACTGGTTGGATACAAGAATCGGATGAAAGGCAAGTGTTTGACTCATAAAACCTGTCAATTTCACTACCAGAGTGTTACAATAAGCGATTTTATAATTCGTGAGCGTTCACTCAGAGTGAGCGCTCGCGAGTCGTTAAATTACTGATTGTGACTATCTGAAAGCGAATTTGACAGGTTTCATGTGTCAAACACTTGCCTTTCAATCTCTTATTGTATCTAACAGTTACAAAATATGATTATAACATCTAATGATTTCAAAATTCAGAAAAGCATGTTTTTATAGCAAGTGAGTGGAAGCAAGCCTGACCGAAAGTGATATTTAAGTGCCAACATTTCAAAGGGGCGTAATTGCATAGGTAAACAATGGATTTAGCCGTCGATTTCTCGCGAATTAAAGCTCACCCCTCCAAAATAACAATGCTAGCTGGTAGAGGAAACATTCCACTACCTATTGGTGTCATTATTTTTCATGAGTGAGCTTTCATTCGCAAGAAATCGACGGCTAAAGCCATGGTTTACAAATGCAAATACGCCCCTTTGAAATGTTGGCACTGATTTGATCCAAAACTAGATCACTTGTAAAAAAGTAAAATCCTGAACGGAATTATAGCTCTAGCGCAACTATTCCATGAAAAGGGAATTATTTACTTGGAAGAATGCATACATAATAATAATAAATAACATGGCCAAAACGATGGATATAGAGCAAAATTTCGATCAATATTTAATTTTGTTTCTCGGGAACAATTTAAAGAAGTATGCAATGAAATTTTAAATAACGTCATAATAGTTATATACACAGCAGCAGAGATGATAAACGATTCAGATGTAATAAATAATCTGATCAAAGAACAAAGGATATAGTTTAAATCTTTAAACGTTACAAATGTTCACATTCTTATTTGTAGGGCCATGTCAGATCTGAATTACAAAAAGAAAGAAATTTACAAAGTAACCGATAAATCCCAGCTCTGAGAGGGCATAGTGCATAAGGTCTAAACCACACAAATTTACCCTTCCAAGTGCGATTGGAATCCTAGCTAATAGAATAGGCAAAATTAGACATAAGTCCGGTATTGAAAGGGATATGTAAAACCCTGGACGATCCAAGTAAAAGTTTTACATAATTGTAAGTTGCAACACGTAGACGTAAGACCACTTTGTACAATTTTTTGGAATAAAATTAAGTTCCGTAGTTTACTCCAGATTCTTAGATTCTTCTCTTTTTTGAATCCGAGAGAACTAGGCCTAGAAGTGAAAACTTCTCTCCTTAACCGGAGAAAAAGTAGCTCCTAGTATCAAAAACAGTGTCTGACCTAGTAAGCGAAAGAAAAAAGTAGCGTTCGGCCGCGACAATTTGTGTTGGTAGTTTACGTGGGTGAGCTTATATTGTCGCTACAGCTGAAAACTGGAAGAACCTACTAGCGACAATTTACTCTCGTTCTACACGTTATATCACCCACAAACAGATGTAACCCTTTAAATAAAGTTCCCTTAAAATTATTGCCACGGAGCTCACTAACGCCATCTCGCGAGCTATTCGCGGAAAAAAAAGCTTGCTTGCCATGTCTGAAACAATGGTGCATACAAGATCATTAGAATAGAATTGTCAAATTGATCCGATGCCACCGCAGCGCTGAAACTTATAATATTTAAATTGAACGTTAAAACCGTGAACGACGATGAAGTGAAATAAAAACGTCCGTTTGTCTGTGATCTGAGATTGAAGCAACCAGTCACACTTTGTTACCACTCAAATGATTTCAAGGTTCTAAATACAAGCAGAAAGTTTACGGTGTCCAGTAGGTCTCGGAACACCTCCCTCTTGGAGGTTCTAACACAAGCACTCCCAACCCATCGACTCACTTTTTCTTCGACCGGTGCTGTAATTTGGACTCCGCATTCATTCACCTTTTTCACTCGCGACTTAGAAATCAACAACTAGAAAAATAGATACAATGTTTAGCTTGATTCTTGCTGTCCCGCACCCGCTTTCATCCACGACGCTGTGGCCGGTGGTGGTGGTTGTAGCAATCTGTTGTTCATTGATGAAAGATGGACCAGAATCGCGTGTGTTGTGATTGTGTTTGATCATCCCGCTAAATATATCTATGCATATATGATTACCTTCTGTTATGTGATAACACGTCCCTGGATGATGATGCTGAACGATGATTATGGTGACACATTCTCTTGCTCGCTGCTCTCGCTTCCTCGCTCTATGTGGGGGGACTGGTGCGAAACACGTCTTTCGTCGTTGGTTCTCTCTAGTGTTTAAGTTGCTAGTATAAATTAATAATCTGTTTTCTTTTTCATTAATTTTTTTCCGAAACTATCTAATGGATCGTCCTTAGTTTGCCTTTTCTCCGACTTAGCTTCTCTCTCTCTCTCTCTTACTCTTATTCTCTTTTCTCCGTCTATTGTTTCGCAACATTTTCTCTCCTTCATGCGAGAGCGTTTGCTTGTTTAGATTTTTTTTTTGCTATTAGTTACTAAATATGTAAGCATTCTATGTTTCTTTTTTTCATTTCTTTAAATATAATTTATTTCCTTCTTTATATATTCTTAAATACAGTCAGTAACTTTGATACAGTTTTTAAGCTGCAGCAGTCCTTGTTTCCTCTTTTTGTTTTTTGTTATTTTATGGATTTTTTTTCTCGAGCTGGGCATCAATGGTCTGCTCCTCCTCAACCAGCAGCGCCAAAGCCCTTTTTCGTTTTACTTTTTTGCTTCGTTTTTCATCTATTGATTAGTTACTAAAAAATCACATTGGGTGTTATCGGACACTTGTTTCGTTCCCTCTTCCACTAGCTCTCCCTCTCTCCCTCATAGCTCAGAGCAGTTTCATTCTAGTAGTGGTTGTTGTCGCTTACCGCTGGTTTGCCTTTTATGTCCTCCTCCACACACATACACATCTCTTGAGAAAACATAACGAATTTATTTTCGTTCCCTATTAACCACTAGAAAAACCGATATTTTGTAACTATTTACCATCCACTCACATACATTCACTCGTTCCAAACAAAATCAAAACGCTCTCACTTTCCTTTTGCAATCATCCTTCTTCTCGCATCAACTACCTTAATCAGCTCCATAAGCGAAACAAAATCCTATGAATCTTGAATGAAATAAACAATATGTTATTATATCGATAATTGTTAAATGAAGCAAGCGCCATGACTGATGCCATTCTTCGCACTCTCGTAACACTGTACAAAACAGAAGTTTTATTTTTCATCCTTCAATTTAGAATTTCCTTCAGAGCGTAGCAACACACAAAAGCAGGCAAATAATGTTCGATTAAAAACTATAAGCTCTTCACCAGCGGTAATAACAATAGGGAGAAAGCTGCATTCTACACTGGGGGGGCTACTTCCCTTGAGAGTCTTCTCAACGAAAGGAAAACAAACAAATAATCCTAAACTGTGTCCTCTGCTCTGCTCCTAGCCATGTGTATGTGTGGGTGGCTGTTTGTATGTATGAATGTGTGTGATTATCTCAACTCTTTCTTCATTCAGTTCGGTCATCTTTTCCAAGATACGCACGCACATTTCCTGTGAACTTTAGCTTTCTTATTATTTTTTTTTTTTCACTTAATGCTTGGCATTTTTTTTTTGTTGCAACTCTAACGTTGCAATTACTTATTGTTTGATTCTCTTTTTTTTTTTGTTATTTAGTTTTGTTATGACTCTTTTCTACTACTTCTACAATGACATAGATTCTTGTTGCTGCTCGATTTTAGTCTTGTAACTTTTCCCCCATTCTCCTTCATACCACTTTCGTTCAGCGCAGTTCCTAATCTGGGCTTACACTTTTCACATGCGCAGTTTTAGTAGGATTCGCCAGCTTTCTTATTGTCCCTCGTAATATTGGGCGCTGCCGCAGATGACGTCCTCCCATGCTAGAGCGAAAAGAAGAAACGATGTTAATTAGATAACTATTAAAGATCTAAAACCAACCAAATGGCGTCCGGTTGAGGAAATCTAGAGTCGAATACCCGTATTCAAGTTATAGTATGATCCACCATTTTGTCATGAAACGAAATAAAATCCACCATCTTTCTTTCAACCACAAAATATGTTCGGGCGTGGAAAAAGATGAACAAATTCTCATTAATCTCAAATATACGTCAAATGAAGGCAATCCAACAGAACCTATCGATCAATTTTGTTCAATGGATTTGTCACCTCCAACAATCAGTGTGGACACTAAAACTTTCATTTTGGCATTCCCATCTTCTTCCCGGCTATTAATATTCAATTCGAGTTCGGTTAAATAAGGCTGCTCCGAAAAACACAATCTACCTCCAGATCGACGAAGGTTCCTCTATCTCAGTCGCGCCATTTCCTGCCAACGTTCACCACAGCCGTCCCGGCCCTGAGTTTAAATGTGGGTCGGGGGTCTTCCAACTCGCTATACCAGGCAAGTACAAATTCAACATTGATCATTTGCCGAACGAAAGGTTTTCGTTATCCACCGTTGCAAATCTTGTAGCGGCACCTTGTCTGAAAATCTTTGGCCCGATGGACCGATTCCTGCGAGTTGGTCTGCGGATTCGTTGCCCGGAACTCCACAGTGTCCGGGTATCCACGAGTAAACCGTGTTCGGTGGTGCGTATTTTATGATCGCCTGGATCCAGGGATGTTTGGGCGATTCGGAAGATAGAGCTAGGATCACACTGTGTGAGTCCGTTAGAATTAGAATGGGCTTGGTGGCCGGTAGCGTTGCAGCACGAAAAATGGCGGCGGCCTCAGCCGAACATACTCGCACATTGTCAAATCAAGTGTTTGGTTCCGAATACGAGGTTTTTCGATGCGATCGGAATCCGCACAACAGCCGCACATCTACTGGTGGAGGCGTTCTCATAGCGGTCGGCTCTGGATTGAAGGCAAAAGTTATCGAAAACGATTCATGGAATTGTGTGGAACAAGTTTGGATTGCCATTAAGCTCGCTTTTTTTTTAGCTAGTTCGTTTATTTGGAAGGCTCAATCGCGTTAGCTTTACGGAGCCGATAGTTCATTGTTCTTTGTTTGTAACAAAATTCACTTAATTCTATGTCTAGTAGGAGTTGGGCCGAATACTCGCGGCTTACTCGAGGTTAGAGAGGTACATTGTCGAAGGATAGGATCAGGGGAGGAGCTTGGGGGTAAGGTTTCGTTGTCTCATCAGAGCGTTGTCGCCAGTATGAACGGTAGTGCGGGTCTAGTTTCTTCTGGAGTTCGATCGGCTATGGTGACCAGTGGGCGACGATGAGACTCATCGAGACGGGGGGATAAGGCAAACAAAAACTAATAAAGAGAGACAAACATTAAGCTCGCTGACCGCACTTTGTTTTTGTGTGTAGTTTACTTTCCTCCGGATCGAACTCGCGACTCTACGCTAATTGAATCCCACAGTCAGTCTATTCGAGCTATAATGGAGATCGCTACAGCTGCTGGCGAGATGATAATCATTGGCGACTTCAATCTACCGGCAATTTCTTGGCGATCATCTTACGGTGGATTCCTGTACCCGGACCACGACCATTCTACATTTCACTCTGGAACTGTAAGCCTTTTGGATCATTACAGTATCGCCACTCTGAAGCAAATCAACCACGTGGTTAATGAGAACTATCGTAGCTTGAACCTTTGCTTCGTCACCGCTCAGGATACTGCTCCGCATGTGTCTATGGCTGTTTCTCCGTTGATAAAGACTGTTCCACACCATCCCCCTTTAGTTATTGCACTTGAAGGCAACCTAATTCCTGAGGTCATTCGCAACAGAAGTCTTCATTTAAGCCTGGACCTGACCGAGTTCCTTCCGTCTTTCTCAAGCAACACATCTGCCTTCTGTTCGAAATGTCCCTCTCCAGTGGGGTGTTTCCTTCCTGCAGGAAATCAGCTGAGATGTTTCCAGTGCATAAAAAGGGATGCAAAAGAAACATCGACGACTTGTAGAAGAGAAAACATTCAGTGTAGTTATTACGGAGTTATTACCCCTCATTTCCATTTTCATACCCCTCACACATTTCAGTTCAGTGTCTGAGTAATAGCGCGGAGAAGGCGACTCCCACTCGAGGCAGATTGTTAAGCTAGCTACGATCGAATACGGAAGCAAATAAATTCGTTTTAATTAAATCCTATAGAAATTTCAGAAGTGGGATACACCGCGGCTTTATACGTTGAGCTTCGATTCGCTAGTTGGATTACGTGATTTTAAACGGTGTGCGGTTACGAGGAGGCTAATTCTCTGTCTAAGACGTAAAAACCTGACTGAGAAGGATGCCCAGACGAAGACGACGACATGGCGTCGACGAACGAGAATACGATTCACAGGAGGAAGAAGAAAACTGGCTGATGAGGAACGCACCGCAAGCTCAATCCCGTCCGCTCCATCCGGAGGAAGTGAAGGCTTTGATAAGCGAATTCAATGGCGAAAATGCTGTTACGTCATGGCTACGCAAACTGGATCATTACAAAACACTCTACAATTGGACCGATGCAGCTGCTCTTTTGTACGCTACCACAAGGTTGACTGGATCAGCAAAACTGTGGTACAACTCTGTGGAGGAGGACATTTTCAATTTCCATGATTTCAAAGAGATGATAGCTGCAACGTTCCCAAACTACGTCGATGATGCCGATATCCATCGAGAGCTGATGGCAGCCATGAAAAGCAACCAGGAAAGCTACGAAGGTTACGTCTTCAGAATGCAGAACATTGCGAGTAAAGGACAAATGTCACAGTCTTCGCTCATCAAATACATCATTAGTGGGCTGTCTCGTGATAAGCTTTACGAGCAAATAGTATCGGCGGAATACCGAACAGTTATGGATCTCTTGAAGCGTTTGAAGTGGTGCGAAGCAAATTTCCGGATGAAGAAACCAAACTACAACGTGGCTCGCATTTCGCAAGCAAGCCGTCCGACAGGTAACGACGGAAGAACAGCAGCACTGGTACCAGTAACATCACAAGCTGGGTCTAGTGATTGGGTTTGTTTCAATTGCAACGCGCCAGGGCACAAATCCGTTAACTGCCCCAATCCGCAACGTCGTTCTCGGTGTGCTTGCTGCTCCAAGGTTGGTCATCAGGAGGATACTTGTCCAGACAAGAAGCCGTCAACTTTTGCACCGAAGCTGAGAGTCGCTATGATTTCTGCATCTAATCAGGATCAGCCGGCGGCAAACGAAGGAATCGATACGGATGAAGACGGAATGATGGAAGGAGAAGCGATTATTGGACGACGTCTCAAGCAACTCAAGCTGTTGGTGGATTCCGGCAGTGCGATAAGCCTAATTAAGCATTCAGCACTGGCAGCTCTAGTTAGATTGGATAAAGAGGTAGCAAACAATCGAGAAATAATAGGTGTGAATAGTTCGAAAATATGTGTTGAAGGTTGTTTAAAAACAAAAATAGTTCTATTCAGGTCCTTAGTTTATGACGTTTCTTTCTATGTTGTTCCTGATGAGACAATGGAAGTTAGTGCAATTCTAGGTCGAGATTTTATGAAACGAAACAATCTATCGGTTATACGATTCTCGAAATCAGAAGAAAAACCTAAAAGTGAATACGACAGTGTACTAATGAACACAGCATTCGGAGAGAATGCTCTAAACCAGTCGGTCGAAGAAGAACTTTGCTTGATTGTTGGTGATAACGAGGAGACTGTGAAGTTCCGTGAAGAAATTTTGCGTGCTTATCAGACCAATTATTGCATCAAGAAGTCGGACTACGGAAAAGCGGTACAATTTACAGCATCAATTCGTTTGCGGGAAGAGAAATATTATAACGTCTCACCACAACGGTTGTGTCACGCAGAGCGAAAGGTGGTAGAGTCAATAGTGGCTGAATGGCTAGATAAAGGCATTATACGTGAAAGCGATTCTCCTTATTCCAGTAGGATTGTTCTGGTGAAAAAGAAAAACGGATCTTTCCGACTGTGCGTCGATTTCAAATCTTTGAATCGGTTAGTTGAACGAGATCATTTTCCTCTTCCGGTAATCGAGGACCAGATTGCAAAGTTAGATGGAATGAAGTATTTCTCTACAATGGATATGAAAAATGGGTTTTTCCATGTGGACCTTACCGAGGATTCAAAAAAGTACACTTCTTTTGTCACGGAAAACGGACAATTTGAGTTCAACAAGCTTCCATTTGGGTACACAAACGCACCCGCCATTTTTTCGCGCTATGTGGCTAAGATTCTGCATCCTTTTGTCAAGTCTGGAGAACTGATAGTGTTTATGGACGACATAATGCTCTGCTCAAAAACTGTGCATCAGCATCTAGATCTTTTGCGTCGAGTTTTTGCTACTCTCAAAGATAACGGAGTGAAACTAAATCTGGAGAAAAGCCGTTTTCTAGTCACTCGTGTTGACTTCCTGGGATACAGCATCAGCTTCAATCAAATCAGCCCTTGTGACCGGCATGTGGAAGCAGTTCGCGAAATACCAGTTCCTCAAAACGCGAAGAGCTTGCAACGTTTTCTGGGATTGATGAGCTATTTCAGGAAATTTATCAAGGGATTTTCTACGATAGCTAGTCCTCTTTACGATCTTCTTAAGAAAGATGCTGAGTATTTTTTGGGAGCACCGCAGTTGGAAGCTGTAGAAAAGCTTAAAAAGTTGTTGATATCGCGTCCTGTGCTTTGCATATATTCTCCAAATACTGATACGCAGTTGCATACAGATGCGTCATCGCAAGGATTTGGAGGTATTTTGATGCAGCGTCAACGGATTGACAATAAATATCACCCGGTCATGTTTTTCAGTCGTAAAACAAATTCCGCAGAAAGCAAGCTCCATTCTTTTGAGCTAGAAACCCTGGCAATAGTATATGCGTTGAAGCGCTTTAGACACTATGTTACTGGTATTCCGTTTGAAATAGTAACTGACTGTAAATCCCTGAAGCAAACGCTG